AAATTGAGGCTGTGCCCTTTTTTGTAAGTAAAGTTTTATTGGATCTCAGGTACATCCACGGCTGCATACATGCTGGAGTTGAATAGTTATAAAGAGCCTGTGCAGCCTGTTGCCCTTGGATGTTTAAAGGAGATAATTTAGTAGCCTCTGTTCTAGAATAGCCATCTGGCACAGGCTCAGAAAGAGTTCAGACTCCTTCCTATGCATGTATGGGAACAAGCCCAGGAATTGATAAAAGAAAATTGGCTCATAAGAGAAGGAAAATAGAACTATTTCAAGCTGCATATTCTGAACAAAGCTCCAAGTGTAATAAGGACATACAGTGACAAAGGAAAATATAAAGCTTATAGGGGAAAGTATGGAAATTCTCATATGCAACCTTGTGGTACAGAAACATTTATTACATAAGAGTTGTCGAGCAAACTATCAAAAGAAAATTAATGAGCTGGGCATGGTGGCTCATGCCTTTCATCCCAGCACTGAGGAGGCAGAGGCAGGTGGATCTCTGTGAGATAGAGGCCAGCCTGGACTGAATAGCCAGTTCTAGGCCAGCTGGAGCTACAGAGAGATACTGTCTCAGCAACAACACCACCGAAACAAGAATAACACAAAACCCAAAAACAATAAAAGAAAATGTGATTAGAATGAATTTTTTGTTGTTTATTGGAGGAACAATAGAAAAATTAACAGACAATCACACTGAATATTCAGACCATACCATGGACCCTGGAAAATCAGAAAATGGAAGAGAGGTGACTGTATAAAAGAGGATGAAGTCTATAAACCAGCAACTTGTGGAAGGAGAAACACACACTGCTCTGAGAAATGACTGTTAAAAGGAAGAGATGGCCATTTTAACTATCAGTCATGAAAAACAAGGAAAGCAGATACTGTCAAGTGCTGGTGAAGACAGCGGAAAACACAGTCTTCATGCATTACTGCCAGGATTGCAAAATGATTAATGTATTTTAGAAAATCTAAGTTTGCATATGATCTGAAACCCCTTAATGTGGCTACACGATAGGTACCAGGAAAATAGGCATAAAGACAGCAGGGACAGTGTTATTTGCGGTAAAATATTGTGGCTAGACTAGCTCTTGAACCTGACAGGTGTTAGGAATATGTTCAGGGTTGCAAAGGAAGAGACCACCACTACTCCAATTGAAATGTCTCAACAAGGCAAACCTTTACTCCTGATCAGAAGGCTGCGCTACTCACAGCAGAGAAAAGGAGACGAAAGCACAGGGAATAGGGGATGTGACAAGTTTTTATCCTAGCTCCTAATGCAATAGTACTGTGCCTTCTCCCTTTCTCCTGGGGTCCAACCTCATGGTCTTTCCTGGTTGGCTAAGAATCCATGCAAAGGAAGAAAAAGGTAATGGGGGGGGGGTTGGCCAAAGAAGAGCTCAGCTCCCCCGCCACCCCACCAGACTCTCAATTCCTGGAATGCACCAGGACTCATTTCCTTCTTTTGAAACCAAAAGCTTTGGTCTTTCTTTCTTTCTTTCTTTCTTTCTTTCTTTCTTTCTTTCTTTCTCTCACTGTGTAGCTCTTGCTGTCCTGAAATTCGCTACATAGACCAGGTTGGCCTTCTTCCTTCTTTCTTTCTTTTTCTCCTTCTTTCCTTCCTTTCTTTCTTTCTTTCTTTTTATTTTTCCTTCCTTCCTTCCTTCCTTCCTTCCTTCCTTCCTTCCTTCCTTTTTTGACTTATTTGTTATGTGTATGAGTCTTTCTTTCTTTCTTTCTTTCTTTCTTTCTTTCTTTCTTTTGAGACAAGGTGTCCTGTAGCCCCAGCTGGCCTTGAATTCACAGAGATCTGCCTGCCTCTGCCTCTGCCTCCCAAGTGCTGGAACTAAAGGTGTGTGCCACCACACATGGGCAGAAACCAAAAGTTTTATGGGGCGGGTGTTAGGGGCCATCAGAAGATTAGAATCCCTTGTAGGTTGGGGAGGGGCCAATCAAAAGATTAGAACTCTTCATCATAAATCAAAAGTTTTTGTAGGGTGGGGAGATTTAGAACATTAGAATTCCTTGTAAAATGTTTTATAGTGTTTGACAGAAAAGACTAATATTTCATGTCTCTTTCACGGGGATGTAGGCAAAAGCCACAGTGGAATGCTGTGGGAAGAACCAGGCAACCAGGAATTATTTACCTCAACATGGAGTATATGGAGCAGTGTAGAGAAACAGAGATGAGATTTAAATAATTTAATAATTTAAATAATGATTCCTATAAAACAATTTAAAGTCATATATGAGAACCCTCTATATTTTTGACATATGGAATATATGCACACAAATGTTTAGGGAGGATTCTAAACACTACATTGATTGTGACACAGCAAATCCCTGAGGGTGGTTGGTGATGGAATGGTCCTGGGCATCGATGACAAAAGGGAAAGTGATATTAAAAGACAAATGAGTTCAAAAGAAGTGCTAGTCATGGACTCTCAGTAACAGCTAAGTGGTGAGAGCCTGTGCTTCCATCAAGCTTGCCCAGTTATCCCTAAAGGGGAACAAACATCTCAGACATTTCTCTTTCCAGCATTGTTAGGTGCTCAGACAGTATCCGATGTATGTCTATGACTTGGTTTCGTTTGCTGAGGTGTTAGCTATGTTTTTTTTGGGGGGGGGTGAGGAATCTCCAGCTACTTTAGTTTTATACTCTCACAGATTGAATGGTCAAGTTAAAGACAGGACCGTTTGTGGGATCCACAGTCATAAGCTGCAGGATACCTTTTCATTTACTAGGATCACTTTGTGTGTTATATCTATTCCTGAGCCAGTAGTGTGCCAAAGGGACTAAGGATACCTGGGTCAATTCCCTAGACCTAGAACCAGGCAGCAAAAAGAGTCCTACCTATAGAACTTGGTGAAGTATAAAGGAAACTCAGTATATTGCTACAGTCATAGGAAACAGGAATTCACAAGTCTGATAACTTCCTAGGGAACATACCTGAGGGGTTTTGACATTTTGACAGCCTTATTGACCCTTCATTTTTATGGAGCTGGTTATAAACATTTTAACAGCCAATATCTCCATCATTGGAAGAAGCCTTCCCATAAGAGTTCTTTAGCTTCTGGAATGTGTCTAGGTCAAGTCATGTGGGTCTATATAGCTGACATGTTCATAGCTCTTGTAAAATATCTTTCCATTTTCTGACTTTATCTTTTTATCTTTTTTTTTTCTGATCCCATCTCTGGTTTTCCATAGGTTGCTCCATGCTCATAAATTCATGGAATTCAGGAGCACCAAGATTCCGAATTTCAAAATGAAGTGGTTTCCAGGGAGAGCATGTCTTTAGCCATTTAGAACGCTACTTTGTCATGTGTAGGGGTCGCCTTGTCACTAGTAGAGAATCAGTCATTGATGTTGGGAAGATTTGGCTTACCCTGGCTCCCCTTGTGTTAGTTATTTTTCTTATTTCTGTGAACAAATATTTGACATAAACAACTTACAGAAGGAAAGATTCATTTTGGTTCACAGTTTCAGAGACTTTGCTTGATGGTTACTTGGCTCTATGGGCCTGGGCATAAAATCATGGTAGTGGGAGCAGGCTGTTTGCTTCATGGCAGATAGCAAAGAGAGATAGCCATTGGGGGCTAGGTATAACCTTCAAAGCCTGGCCCCCTGGTGATCTACTTACTTCCTTCAACCAATCCCCACCTAAATTTTCCAGAACCTCCCAAAACAGCACCACCATCTGGGGACCAAGTGTTTAACACATAACTGTGGGGGGCATTTTATATCAAATTATAACAGCATCTTGGGGCCTTCCCGCCATCGAGGACATGGAAAAAATCCACTTCCAGTGCTGCATTTGTCTCATTTTCAGCTCTATTTTCTTCCTTCCTTCCTTCCTTCCTTCCTTCCTTCCTTCCTTCCTTCCTTCCTTCCTTTTTTTTTTTTTTAAATTTTGGCAACTGTACTACAATGGAGAATGCTTGTATGTTTCTGTAATTGTAGGCAAGGTCAGAGTGTTTGCACTTGTGCTAACTTGCTGTTCTATAAATAAAGATAAAAACCATTTGAGAGAAGTATTTAAGAAGTAGAAGGTTTGTACTCCATACTTAACAATGAACATTTCCAGCTTTGGAAAGATGACAGAGGAGATGGCAAAAGTAAGCTTGACAAGTAGGACCTTGTGGATTTGAGATGACAGCCTGAAGTGCTGAAGAACTTAGTAGTGAAAGTCTGCTTTATCATCCACGTTTGAGTTTTGCATGGCTACGCTACTGGGGAGACTATTTCAGGACGATTTACCTAGAGTTCAACTGGGAGGACATTAAAAGGGACCATTTAAAATATCACTCTTTTACAACTAAGAATTTGTTAGTAACAGACTCTGTCTTCTTTTGAAAAAAATTTATTTTATTATTTTATTTGTACAAGTGTTTTGCCTGTCTGGGCCCCTGTGTGTGCAATGCCCACGGAGGCCAGAAGAGGGCATTGGATTCTCTGGACCAACAGATGGTAGCTGGCATGTGGGTGCTGGGAACTGAAGTTAGGTCCTCTGGGAGAGCGGCCAGTACTTTTAATTGCTGAGTCATTTCTCCAGCCTGGAGAAATGCCTTCTTTAGAGTAGAACATGAACCAAGTTTCTTTCTTGTTTGAATTTTACAAATGTCCATTCCCTAAATTGTTTTCTCTTTCAGACTTTACTGTGTGACAATGTCATTTAGATTTGGCCAGCATCTCATCAAGCCCTCTGTGGTGTTTCTCAAAACAGAACTGTCCTTCGCCCTGGTGAATAGGAAACCTGTTGTACCGGGACGTATCCTTTTCTTGTAAAAGAGGCAAAATATGTTTGAACCGAATCTACCAAATTAATACAGACTCAGCCTCCAGTATCTGTCTATGAAAGGTAAGCAAGGAATATACCTTCCTCCCCCTTTGGAAAGACCAGGTAAGATGTTATTCACTTTTATTTTGAATCCAGTTGGTGGCACAAGTAATATGCTTGATCAGTGGTGCAGAACTTCTGAAGAGAGTTGCTTAGCAACTGTGGCTTTGGAGGTGAATTTTTCCTTGACCTTTCACTACCATAGCTATGTAAATAAATAGGTGTTTCAAGAATTGGGCCAATGACTATCACGGGTACTTTGTATTCATTTTATCCATTGTGAATTTTAATGGAGGGTTTGAAATTAGATGGCAGCTGTGATGTGGAATTAAGGTATTTTCTGAGAATTTGAGACTGACTTTGTTTCTTCTTGGAGGTCATTCAACTTACAAGTTTTAATTAAATCCATATATGTTATTAATGTTACAATCTCTTTTGTGTTGGGAATTTGAAATGACTTGTTTTCTTGGAAAGAAGTTGTTTTCTAGACTGTTCTCCGCTGTGAGTGCTGACTGGGTTATTTTATTTTGTTGGAGAAACTTTCCTCCTTCCAACTTCAGTGGGAGTTTCATTCTTCTGCAGTACAGGTTGTGGGAATTGGTGAGGCACTCAGAGGACTTGCCTCTCTGCTGTTGCAAGTATCCCTTGTGATTGTGTACATGCGGATCGTATAGTTTCTAGAATGCTTTTCTTTTCCTCCTTAGTTTATTATGCAAGTAGCAGCAAAAATGAACCTTCATATACTAAGATAATAGGTATTTTTTGCACTGAGCCATGATTTGGCTTTGAAATTAATTTCATAGTATAATTCTGAATGCATAAATATTTCAAAAGTTTTTTGGAGTAAGTTGTATGTGTGTGTGTGTGTGTGTGTGTGTGTGTGTGTGTGTGTGTGTGTATGACTTCTCTACACGGGCCATTGTGAAGTGACAGAAAGA